CACGAGCGCTGCGTCTTCCAACCGTTTTCACGCAGAATTACTAATGATGAACGGCAAGAACACACGATATTCGTCGATTGTTTTATTGCCTCATAGAAACGCTAATGAATAGTTCGTTTTCTGGAACGTTTTTCAGCTGTTTTCCAACGCATCCGAGCAATGCATTTTCAGTGTTTATTCTGGGAAATGATGACGGTCAACGCCCTGAAAACAAGATGTTCGTCGATCGTGCTTATTATTTCTTGCTCTTAATTCTGCTCCATAAATACGCCAGTGAATATCTTGTCTAATATTTTAGAAGATTGACCCCTATTAGGTCATTTGGGGCAATTCAGTCATTTGAGCCGTTTGGATCATTTAAGGAAATTGAGCTAATCGGGTCATTTTGGTGGTTCAGGCAGTTGGGTTCACTTGCACTTTATTGGGTCGAGCAACGATTAAACGAGCGGCGGTAAACGCGGGAAAATGCAAGCCTTGCACGATTTCACCATCGCAGAAAACACCGGATAATGCATGCTTTCTGGTTAACTCCAGTGAAAATAACGTTAAAATCGCAAAACGGCTGTGAATGGCAGAATACATGGTATTTTTCATACGTCAACCGATCAGCAATGCATGTAAATGGTAAAACGTCGGAAAATGCGTTTCAACGAATTTTCTCGAATTCACCATCGCGGAAAAATATTGGAAAATGCATGCTTTCGACCGGATAACTCTTTTGAACGTATGGCTCACCGGGTGAAGAATATTTGCGAACAGAAGAAAACAAGACATTTTCTATGCGTTATACGAACGGCTTACACAGGAAAACATTACGTTTTCCTGTATTTACACCCATTAACCTTCCCGGGAAATGCGTGTTTTAAAGCCGTTAACTCCGGTGAATACGTTGTCGTTTACTCAAAAAAATGGCAATGAACAAAAAGAAAACAAACTGTTTACCGTGCGTTACCCTAGCGGTTAATGCCGGAAAAATAAATTGTTTACCGCGAAGGAAAACTACCGAATAATTCAACGAATACTGGGATTTACCGATGCGAAAACACACAGAGAACGTCGGATTTTCCGTTAGCAACCCACGGGTAAACGTTAGTAAAATGCTGCGTTTTCCGTGAATTCAGCCTTCATTTTCCATAAGGTGAACGCTAGTTTGTTTGCCACG